CTCCTAATACTGCTCTGCTCCTCCCTTTTTACCGCGTTTCTAGAATCTGTATGGTGTAAGGCATTGTTCTGGATTCTTGGTGGCAGTCTGCCCGGTAGGTACCTCCATCGCTGTTTTTAGATGAGGCTCAGAAGTGAACAGCTTGACCAAGGTCACAAGCCAGCCAGCGACCCGACGAGGACAGGAGCCCGGTCCCGGGGCCCCCACGACAGGCTCTTCCCAGTCCAGCCTTCCGCAGCTCGGTTTCGTTCCCCAGGTGCTGGCTGGGCACCTGCTGTGCCCCCTGCAGCGATGACTGGGGGGGGGCAGATGTGGAAATCCCGTGGTTAGCCCCGTAGGCTCTCTCCTCCCCCAGGGAATGTGGAAATGGGGCCCCTGGAGTCACTGCCCCCCCCCTTGGCTTCCAGGAAAACTCGGAGTAACGGTGTGCACGACTCGGGGGTGGGATTCCACTGGGGCCAGGTGGGTGAGGGGAGCACCAAAGGACGGCATCCAGCCTGGGCCCCTCGGCCGAGAGCACGGACAGTGGGGCATTGTGGGCCACGCTGAGGCTTGGATGGTCCCCCTGGGAACTGATACTTGGCATTTCACCAGCCATCGAATTCAGCCCCTGCCAACTTCCTATGAAAGAAGGGGTGACTTTGGGGCCTGCTGGCTGGTGAACACTGCTCTTGAGACTGGAGAGGGGACCCACAGGCAGGCTGTGTGCCTCTAGGCACCCATCTCCAGCCGGTGCCAGCTCCATCAGCCCCGGTGGGGGACAGGGTGGGGACCTCCTCTGCCGGAGCAGCCTGTTTCCCCAACCTTGGGCCCCAGAACTCTCCAGAAACCCGGGGTCTCGGATAATTTCCCAGGCCCAGCCTTTTGAGATGGGTATACCTCCTGACCTCCTGTCTGAACAGGACCTCGCTGACTGACCGGCTGGGACAGCTTGGCCCCCACAGCACGCAGCCCCTGACACGGCCAGGTCAGGCAGGGTTTAACGTCCCCCTAGCTGCTGGGTCTCTGGTGCTTGTGAAGAGGAGCGTGTGTGGCCCTGACAGCAGTCTCAGGTTCAGGTGACTGTCCTCATTCTGTAGGTAAGGGGTCAGGGGCTCACGGGTCCCTTGCCCAGGGTCACACTGCTGTGAGTGGCCAGGACGGGAGGCCAGTCTGCTGGGCTCCAGAGCCGCTCGCTCGTTGAGCTGCATTCACAGGGGTGTCCTGGGGCCTGCGGGGTCTGCGTCTGCTTCACCCCCTTTACTTTTGGGGTCCCTCAGCGGGGCGGGAGGAATGATCCGGACTGGTCTGGACATACGTCGCCCACACCTGTGTGACCCACAGTGGCGGTCCCTGTGCCCCTGGGAACGGGCTGGCTGTGGTCCCAGGGAGAGGGCCAGGGATAGGGGCCACCCGCAGATGTCTCCTGGTGCTGCCTGCTGAGGACACTGTCTCTTCCCTAAACCCCTCCCCCCAAGAGACGCACCCTTTTTGCGAAAACCCACTCTGCACTCCCTGGTCCTGCCACCCCTCCAGAGCAAGACTCGGGTCCAGGACCTGGCCTGGACGTCCCCTCGCGCCCCAGGAACACACCACCGTGGAGCAGGTCTGACGCAGGCCGTGTGGCCCGGAGGCGCAGGCGGCTCTCTGGGGCTCCAGGTTCTCACTGTAGAAAGGCCGGCGACCACAAGGTGCCCATGCCTCTGCTCTCGCGGGGTCGACTCCTCCCCACATCAGGGGCTGCGCAGCCCAGGCTCCCTCTGCCCGGAATCGGCGTTGGGTTTGTCGGGGGACTTGCTGGAATCTTGCAGCTTCAGTAGAATTTGCCTCACCACCTCCAGTCAGATTAATCTTTAGTTCCTGCACATTCTCCGGCCCCACCCCCAAGACCTCCCGGTTCCTGGAAGCGCATGTGACCTGGAGGCTCCGCGCTGGGCCCCACCTGCCCCTGTGGCCTGGCTGGAGGGTAACTTAGCTCTCAGCAGACTGGGTACCTCCCCAGTCCTCCTAGAAACCTTGTGAGGACAATATTTTTATTGTGACGAGTTCCTCCTTTCCCTCCGTAACTTTATCTACAAAGCAGAAAAGAAACAGGCTTAGAAGTGTTGCTAGTGTGACTCTGGGTTCTCCCAGCAGCGCCTCCAGCGGCCGCCCCCGCTTTGCCTCCCTGCCCGAGGGGCTGGCATCGGAGCGCGCTGTCCCCAGCCCAGGTGCACCCCTCGGAGGCCCAGCGTGGCACCCAGGCCCTTCCTGAGAGGGCCCCGGGCAGGGGAGCTGGGCCACAGGGAGGCTTCTGTCCAGGACAAATGCCGAAGTGCTGCGGTCCTGGACTAACTGAGGTGCAGTTCATTTTCTTACAGCTGTCTTTATATTATTTGAATTGCAGAGGAAACTACAAGAAACGTGCGTTGACTGAAGAGGTGTTAATGTAGGGAGCAGCTGACTTTACGAGAAAAGGCTGACTTGATGAGAGACACACACACACACACACACACACACACACACACGCGTGGGTGAGGGGCCAGGCTGTGGTGGCTGGGGCCTGGCTTTTGGTCTCTGTGGCTGGGACATTCCAGGGCGGCAGCCCCCCCAGCCACTCCAGCCTCATCTGCCCACGTGTCAGATGCAGACAGTGAACCCTTAATCTCTGCTCTAAACACCTCCCCAAGCTCTCCCAGGGCTGTTGTGAGAGGTGAGTGGGGGAGTTTGAGGGGGGTGGACAGACAGACAGGACGCTTTGTCGAGTGTGCAGGGCCAGGCACGTGTGGACCCTGCTCAGTTAGAGGGTGACAATGCCCCTCAGGAGGTGGCCGTCTTGTTGGGAGAGAGGGACCTCTGTGGGGCGTCCAATCCTCTCTACCGCCCCACCTGTGGCTGAGGCAAGCCACTCGAAGCCACCCCGGCTGGGACCTTGGGCGAGCTGCCACGGGTTGGGTTCATGGCTGCGGGATGTCAGGCGGGAGGGGCCTTTGGTCCCCACCTGCGTGCTCTGAGCTGGGTGTCTCCGGGCAGAGAAACTCGGACACTCGTTCGCGGAGCGCCCTTGTCTCTCTTGGTGCCCTTCCTGCCTCGTGGAGCAGGGTAGGCCACCGCTGTGTGGAGAGTGGGTGCTGGTGACTCACAGTCCAGTCCCAACCCCGCCACCAGTCCCCATGTGGCCCAGGCAGGTCCCCTCTGCTACACTGTGGGGGAGAGGGGACCAGTGCCCAGGGTTGCAAGGACCGGAGAGCACAGCTCTTTGCACAGTGCTGGCACTCCCGTGAGCCGCAGAGCTGGGCTTCCTGGCGGTGCCAGCCTCCCTGCTGCCCACCCAGGGACCCCGCTGTCCTCTGGGCGCTGTCTCCCTCCCGCCTCTTTTCTCTTCGGGAGCCCACATCCTAGCTCGGGGGGCTTCCTCTGGGCGTAGGAATCGGGCAGCACATGGGAGTGGCAGCATTGGGGGGGTGCCTGGGCTTCACAGTTGGTAGTGTGTCCCTGTGGTGTACGCTGTCTTCATCGTCACCCCAAGCATGAAGCCGTGAAGGGTGGGCTGCGTCATCGATGACCAGAACCAAGCATGTGGCCGGAGGCAGGCGGGACTCCCGAGGCAGGCTGGAGGACTTTTGGCAGATGGCTCTCTGGGCCTTGATGTCCCCATTAGTAAAACTGGGATCAGAATCACTGTCCCGAAGAGTTGTCACAAAGCCCAAAGGGATAAAATGTCCCCTCTCGGCAGGGTCTCCAGAACTTGGTGGCTGCTCAGTGAGTGTCAGTTTCCCTGTGTTTCTCCTGGGATGCAGCTTTGGACTTGCAGATGGAGCGTTTGCTCAGGGAACTAGAGGGATAAAGGTGGGAGCAGTGAGGGGCTGGATTAGTGATGGGTAGGTGGAAAGGGCTACGTGAACACTAGGGGCGATGTTAATTACACAGCCCCTCCGCCTCCAGTCGGGGGGCCTGGCTGCCTGGTGCTGGCTTTATTGGTCCATCTGGTGCTCGGCTGCAGCCACAGCACCGGCAGGAGCCAAGCTCATTAATTTCCATCTCCCCTTAGCCCAGCGTGTCTTGGTGGGGACAGACCCCCGGGGGGCTGCCCGCTCACCACTGCTGCTCACATCTGGCCGACACAGCCAGGCCTGTCACTGACCTCCTTCCTCACAGGTCCCTGACCCTGACCTTGTCTGAGACGTTTGGAGGCTTTTCACAGCCTTCATTCCTGTTACCCTCCTTGTAGTTTGGGGGCCAGAGGAAGCACTTTAGTGGGGGGCCCAGCCAAGGAGCCCACTAAAGAAGCTTGGGAGCAGGTTGAGGTGATTTTAACACAAGGTTCAGTGCCGGGCAGCATGCTAGGCCCTAGGGACCAGCCCGAAGCTCAGGACTGAGAGACCTGGGCTTCTTGCTGCCCCCGCGGGGCTGCGGCTGGGCCAGGGCACACCCGCTGTCCCAGGTCGGCACCACGTCCTGTGGCTGGGACGCGGTCATTGAGGTCCTGCTGTGGCACAGTGGTCCTGTAAGATTTCACCGCCGTTCCCAGTGTACAGTCGAGGTTCTGAGAGGCTACTGGACGTGCCCCGCGTCGTGGACGGGGGTCTGTGTCACACTGTGCCCACGTCCCGGTGCCGTGTTGCCACCAGCCCCACTAGGGCAGGGCCTTGTTCTCAGCGGCCACTCGTGTGGCTGTGCCCTGAACTCCATCACCAAGAAGCCTTCTCCCAAGATATTTGGCTTCCTCTGTGGACTCTGTGATGGGGACCCTGATGAGCTGCCCGGGTGCCCTGAACCATATGGGTGTCCCGATTGTGGCCCTTCTGCGTGGGTGGCTGTCCCTGGGGGGCTGTGACTGCTCACTGGGCTCCCATGAGGCCCCGAGACGAGTCACCTGGCAGGTGTCCTCCTGCCTGGGGTCTCAGGGTCCCTGCCCTGGGTGGGGTGCCTTGGCTTCATCATTAGTGACCCGTCCCTGTCAGTGTCCCTGCCGTGTGATGACGAGCGCTGAGCCCCAGGGAGGCAGCGTCACTCATTCTGTGTCCCTCTGTCTTTCCCAGGGCAGCGAGGAGCCAGGCCCCACCTTTGCTGGCGGCGAGCTCCTCCCCAGGGAGCCCGGCTTCTTTCCTGAGGATGAGGAGGAGGCCATGACGCTGGCCCCGCCCGAGGGCCCCCCGGAGTTAGACATGGACAGCCCCATGGAGAGCACCCGGAGCCTGGAGGGGTCGGTCGGGGGTCCTGCCGAGGAGAAGGACGGGGGTCTCGGGGGCCTCTTCCTGCCCGAGGACAAGTGAGTTACAGCCGCGGGGCCTCCACAGGGCCCCGGGCCCAGAGGCGCCGCCCTCAGCAGGGGAGCCCGGGGGTGGACAGGAGACGCACTCGGGGTCTGCATCCGGGCATTCGTTTCACGGGTGTTCGCAACAGCCAGAGGTTCTGAGCCACCTGAAGGCTTACTTACCAGCGGGACCGGGGCTGGGATTTTAGGCCGCCGTGCAGAGTCAGGTTTCAGTGACTGTCTAATGATGTGGGGCGTGTGGTCTCCATTAGTTTTTAGAAGACAGGTTACAAATATAATGAGATATGATTTTAGTTTTGTTTAAAATACATAAGTAAATATATTTCTGCAGGAAAATAATTCCAGAGAATTAGCAGTTCTGTCAGGGTGGTGGGATTGGTCGTTTTAATTAGCTTATATCTACTGCACTATATATTCTCTATTTTGTTTATTGCTCATATGTTCTCATAATCAGAAATGTTATTTAAAAACAGTATTAGGACCTGGTGACTTCCCAGGGGGGCGGGGTTGGCTTTTAGTTGGTGTCAGCGGAGGGAGCCCCTGCTGCCAGCCCTTGCTGCGTCTCCGGGGGGACGAGACAGTGACCGTGGGTGGCGGCCGCCACAGCTGGGAGTTGGCATCCCATAGATCAGGAGAAGGTGAACGACCCCGAGATTTGGAGAGGCAGGGGAAGGGTTCCCATATTGACTGAACCTCATGAGCCTATCCATTTTTAATCGTTTTCAACCTTCCCAAAAAGGCAGTTTCATATGGTTCAACCTAATACATTTTCTCAGCACAGGAGCGCTCAGACTCGGGGGCCCTGGGAGCTCGCCGTGGGCCCCGGGGCGTGGCTTGTCCACACGGGAGAGGCCCTCCAGCCAAGCCAAGGACAGATGGTCGCTGGCTACAGACCCGTTGGCCTCTTGGCTAATCATTTGCCACTCGATTGTTCCCACTGATTCCTGGGACCGTCAGTCACCAGGAGGCAGCAGGTGCCCAGTGTTTCAGTCAAATTTACAGGAGGAAGGAGCTCGTACACTGAGGTGCTAAGGAACCCGAGGGCAGGTGGACAAGTAAACGCAGTTGGGTGGAAGTACTCAGAGACTTGATTTTTAGCACCCTGATATTAACCTGTGATGCTTAGGTAGAACCTGGGGTTCCTCAGGGGCCCAGTTTGAGAATCATTGGCTTAACGCATCACACACTTGTTTCTGGTCTCCGAGTGTGGAGGCCTAGGAGGCTGGAGAAACCCTGACGTATGGGTAACAATAGCCGGGAATTGCTGCGCCGTGACTAACAGGAAGCTATGTCTTGGCAGATGACGAGTTGTGCTCTCTCTGTTCTCAGGTTCCAGGCTGGGCTCAGCCAGCTCCCATCCCGGCACGGGCCCCGCCTGGCTCAGCTGTGAGAGGCGTGGGGTCTCAGACCTGTGTTTTTGGGGGTCAGGCTTTTTTTTTTTGGACTAGAAATCCCCTCTATAAACCAGAAGCATCTCACCTAGTAGCTCCTTGTTATTTATTTTAAAACTTCATTTCATCATTAAAGAAGTACAAGCCAATGAACTAGAACTTGAAAAAGTTGGGAAAGTGAGAACGGAGGGGAAATAAATAACCAACTTTGCTCATAGCACCACCACCGACTGAAGCCAAGTTTTGCTACACGCAAACATTTTTATTTCCCACTTTCCCTTACCTGTGTAGACCTTTATCTTCTTGCTTAGTCTTCCTTTATCTAGAATTTTATGTCCAGCTTTAATACTAATATTAATTTTTCCCATTATTGCCAACATTTTTATAAACCTTTCTTTCGACAGTGCTTTGATAGCCCATAATGTAGTGATTTAACCAGCATCATTCAAGGGAGCTGCAGGTGAGCCACCAGGTCATACACAATGTTCCCTGCTCTGGGGCAGCGGTGGCTTGAAGGTCTCTTGGGCAGAGACAGTTTCTGTGGTGACATGTCCTGCAGGACAAGGTCCTGAAAGGTTGCTCACTGGGCCACCGGCACAGACCTCACCAGGCGTCGGCAGTGCCAGCGGACCTCCTGGCAGGACCGGTAGGCCCCCCGCCCGGGGGGCAGCCTCACTAACGGGGACCCTTCTCCAACACCAGGTCCCTGGGCCACACTCCGTCCACGACGACGTCAGACCTGTCCACACACTCCACCACCTCGCTCCTCAGCAACGAGGAGCAGTTTGAAGACTACGGGGAGGGGGATGACGCGGACTGTGCCCCCAGCAGCCCCTGCCCCGATGACGAGACCAGGACCAACGTCTACTCGGACCTGGGGTCCTCAGTGTCTTCCAGGTGGCCGCTCAGCCTGGAATGGTGTTTGGGGTCCAGGAAAAGTGGCAGAACCAACCCAGCCTCGTCCCTGGGAGGTTTAGTGGGCAGGGCCCCGAGCTGCGTAGGTTCTGCTCCCGGGGTCTGGGGGTCTGGAAACCTCCCCGCCCTCCCGTCTTGGGGAAGAAAGAGAATGAACCAGCCTGGGAGGCTGCAGGCTGTGGCGGGGGCTTTGTCGTCTTTCTAGAACCTCGGTGTTGAAGGGTTCTTCCAGTGGGGCACACCTGAGTCATTACTTACTCTGACACTAGCCCTCAGTTGCCTTGTCTGCAAAACGGGTGTCACTCATTGGCTTCTCTTTGGGAGTTTTGGAGGAGCGGAGGTCTGGTGTGGTCCTTTCACGCCCCGCCCCCAGCCACACACACGAGGCCCCTAGGTGTCAGGGGATCCCGTCAAGTGCACTTGGCGGCGTGGGGTGGGCCCCAGCCTGGACGGCAGTAAAGCAGGGGCTGTCTTCCGTCCTGAACCAGTGCGGGGCAGACACCTAGGAAAATGCGGCACGCGTACAACAGCGAATTGCTGGACGTTTACTGCTCTCAGTGCTGCAAGAAAATCAACCTGCTGAATGACCTGGAAGCCCGACTGAAAAACCTAAAGGCCAACAGGTGAGGACTGCAGCCCGGCGTGGGGGTGGGGGGCCAGCGTGCAGGCCTGAGGGGAAGCAGCCAGCCGGGGGCCCCGGGCTGTCTTGGCAGGTGAGGGCACACTCAGAACAGGATTGATCCTCGGGGCCTGCGTGTTTCCGTGACAGGGAAATCAGGGTAGTGTCCCTTTGGTGGGCCAGAAAGAGGTTCGCCCTGCACTTGGGTGTCTCGCAGCCAGGGCAGAATAAGGAGTAGCCTGGAGTGTCGCTGTTCGATGGCCGCTTCTCCCATCTGTCTCTCTTTCTCTTAGCCCCAACCGAAAGATCTCCAGCACGGCCTTCGGACGGTAAGCAGCACCCCCACCCCCCACCAGGGAAGACAGGTTGACTGCTGTCCCCTTTAACTGCTCCTGCTGCCAGGCGGCCAGCTCCACGCCAGCAGCCCAGACCCAGGTGGCGCCCCACGCCCCGTGGGTGGCTCAGTGAGCCGAGGGGAGGGAGGTGTGCTGGGGCAGGGCAGGCAGAGCACCAGGGGAGACGCACTTCTGAAAAAGACGGGCCAGCCTCCTCTCCGTCCCCACCCCTTGTCACTTCTGGCAGCCGTCAGCGTCTCCAAATTCTCAGCTGCCGCAGCCCCAGCAAGCACACTGGGGCCCTGGGGACACAGCCCACCTCTCCTGTCTCAGTGCCTTGCCCGGGTCCTGGAGCTGGCAGTGGTACCAGCAGAGACCCTGGGCTTCCTGCTGGCAGGGGAAGGGGCTCGGCGGCCTTGCCCCGCGTTAAATCCTGCGGAGCTGCCTCCCAGGCGCTGCCCGGATCCTGCTGTGGTTCTGCTGCAAGCTGGCCCGAGATCTGCCCTTGGGGCTCTGGGAGCTGCCCCCGAGCACCAGCACCCACCAGCCCACTGCCCAGTTCAGTATGAGTGGGTCTGCCACCCTGTGCCCTCCCCAGGGTCCCCAGAGATGTAGCAGGAGGATTGAGTCCTACTTACAGGGCGGCCCCCAAGGGCCCAGACCTCCGGCTGGGACTGTGGAGCCAGGCTGCCTCCACCGGTGGTCTTCCAGCTGGGAGGGGTGGGGGGCTTATCCACCAGCTCAGTCACTTGGTAGCCACTGGCTAGAACACCTCCCTGCAGAGGGTTCTGAAGCGTCAGGGAAGAGCTGCGACGGACTGGCCACGTCTGCCAGGGGCTCCGAGGGGTGTCGCAGCCCGTCTGCCATCCCCTGAGCTGGAGGATCTTGTGAGTTCAGAGGTCAGGCGACTCCTCTCCCCTGGCTGGGTAAAGAAGCCTCCCTAGAGGGGGTTCTGGGCGCTCGCCAGGCCGTGGCCAGAGTCCGGACCACAGTCCCCACGGGGCTTCCGCCACTGACGAGCCGCCTCCGCCCCGCAGGCAGCTCATGCACAGCAGCAACTTCAGCAGCAGCAACGGCAGCACCGAGGACCTGTTCCGGGACAGCATCGACTCCTGCGACAATGACATCACCGAGAAGGTGGGCCCTGTGTGCAGGAGGCACGGCCGTGTGCGCGCCCCTGGGGGCGGCAGGGAGCACTCTGCGATCCCTGCCCGGGGTCTCACGCGCACATCCGCCCCCACCCCCATCCTCACTCCCACCAGACATGACTGCGCTGCCCAGACGCAGTCCGGCGGGAGAGCCTGCCCATCCGTCCTACAGCTTCTAGGTTCTCAGTCCTGGGAACTCGAAGGTCTTACCCACCCCACCTCTGCCCCCGTATTGTAGGTGAGCTTCCTGGAGAAAAAGGTGACAGAACTGGAGAATGACAGCCTGACCAATGGGGACCTGAAGAGCAAGCTGAAGCAGGAGAATACCCAGCTGGTGCACAGGTCGGGGGCCATCGCCCTGGTTTTGGGGTGTTCGCTGTGACTCGGGACAGAGGGTTGGTCCCGCTGCCAAGGCCCCAGGAGAAGCCAGGGGAGGGAACCTGCGTGTGTAGCTCTGGGCGGCTGTGGTGCATCAGCCCCTTGCTGCCTGAAGCTGCCCATGCAGGGGGCCCAGGGCAGGTCTGTGAGGACAGGGACACAGGTGGGCACCTGACCCTGACCTGGACCCACTGGGTCCTGTCTCCTTGTCCTGACCTCCCTTCCTGGGGACAAGCACTGCAGAGGGAGAGGCAGGTGTCCGTGGGGTCCCCCACCTGCTGCCGGTGGGAAAAGTCCCAGCGTTGCTGTGCCCTCCTCCTGATGGAGGCCCACCGAACACGGCCCCCCCAGTGTCGCCTGTAACACGTTAGCGCGTGTAGCATTGTGGTTGACCTTTTGTGACAGCCTGAGACTTGCTGCCCCTGCAGAAGGTCAGCCTCAGGGAGGGACTGTTGCCAGGGAAACGTGCCCCAGATCGAGGTACTGCTCAGGCCACCAGTAGCAGGTTATAACATTCATAGAGGGTCCTCTCCCAGGTCATGCTCAGGGCCACTGGCCAGAGTCAGGGTGCCCCAGAGTTGAATTGTTCGCTAAGGAGGTACAGGCTAGGAAGGGAGAGAGCAGGAAGAGGAGGTGAGACCTGAGGGCCATTTCACTCAGCTGTGGCTTGGCCTGTCATCCTCCCTGTGCCGGCCCCAGAGGTTCCGCCTCCTCAGGCACAGCCTCGCTCCTCCTGGACCCGCTGCCAGGCCTACCCCTCCGTGCCACACATGGCCGACACACCTCTCCTTGGGTGCCTTGGTGTCTCTTACTCATCTGTCAGCAAAGCTGCTGTCCCCCAGGTCTGACAAACATGTCGCCACATCCCACAGTATAGGAGTTAGTGACCAAGGCTCCCCTCAGCTACAGCCTGGGTTGGGGCGAGAGGACTCAGGCCGCGAGAGCTTGCCCTGGACGCTTGCCCTTGTCCACGCCCGTCTCCTCAGGGTGCACGAGCTGGAGGAGATGGTGAAGGACCAGGAGACCACGGCTGAGCAGGCCCTGGAGGAGGAGGCGCGGCGGCACCGTGAGGCCTACAGCAAGCTGGAGAGGGAGAAGGGCACCGAGATCGAGCTGCTGCACACCAGGTGGGCCTGGCGCCCAGACCGGGGCCTCATCTCTGACTCACCCGCACGCTCCTGGGACAGCCTGTGGGGCAGCTGCTGCCGTCCCCGTTTTATGGGTGGGGAGCCGAGCCGGAGGCAAAGCCTTGTGCCCCAACAATTCTACTTTGGATAGCTGAACACGTGGGCATGCTCTTCAGGAAGCGTGTAAAAGAATGTCCGCAGTAGCACTGTTCGAACTAGATAAAACCGAAAACAACGTACTTGTCTGTCAACAATAGAATGGGTGAACACCCCCAAAACCAGTGGTGTTGCCCTGGTGTCCGGGCTGGGCCTGGTGTCCAGGCTTGGAGCTCCCCCTGCTGTCAGGTTCTCTCCTGACCCTGGGCCCCAGGCCGAGGTAAGGGGGAAAGCAGGCGTTTAGTGCTCCTGGGTACAGACGCCGGAACTGAGGCAGGCGGGGGGAGGGGTGTCGGCCTGGGGTTCTCACTTGGCCTCCCTCCAGTTCCATGATGGTGAACACACTGTGCCACTCCGCTGGCCTCATTGTCCCCGAAGTGCTGATGCCCATCAGAGTGCCGCCGAGGGGTGAGGGCTGCAGCGACGTCCCGGGGCTGCCTTCAGCACTGAGCCAGGCTGGGAGGCCGCCGGGGCCCCAGGCGGAGAAGAGAGCTTCCCTCACACTCTTCAGCTCTGATCAGGCCCCAGCATCTGAGCTGGGTCCGCCCCAGGGTGGAGGGAGGGTAGGAGGTGGGCTCCCAGCCTGCACTCCATGGCTGGAGCAGGGCCTCCCCTGCCCATGGAGGTTCACACAGGGCCAAAGGGAACGGGCACTTGGTGCCCCTCTGCGCTCAGGGAGGAGCCCTCCTAACTCCTCTGTGCCCGAGACCCACTTTGTCAACACTGTTGCCCAGGGGCTCATGTAAACTTTCCCTCATGTTCTAGAAGCTGCTGTTTGCATCTGTTTCTGAAGGCTGAAACCTCACTAAACGTCACTGTTCTCTGTTCTGACAGCTGGCCCAGTTGGCGGGCCTGACTGAGGTGTCTGGGAACAGGTGGTGGAGCAAGACAGGGAGTGTGGGCCAGAGGCCAAGGCACAGAAAGCGAGCCCCCGTGGGAACTGTCTCCCAGCCCACGCCCCTTGCACAACTCCAGAGGGCGCTGTTCACATAGACTAGGCAGACAGTCCCCCCCACCCCCCGCCAGAGTCACTCTATGTGCTTTGTTCCTCACACCCTCCACCATCGCACGTTCCCTAGGAGGCAGCCTTGTCAGGGTGCACGTCTGAATTCCTCTCTGGGGGCCTCCCTTGGGGACCCCTGAGGGCTGTGGCAGCGGTGTGAAAAAGAAGGGAGGCTGTGCAGACGTTGGTGTTCGGGTGCCACTGACACCCCAGCTCACCTGCCGCTGTCCTCGGGACGTTTAAAACCTACCTGGGCTGCCCTTTCGAGGGCTCCCAGTAGGACAGTCCCTGGCTGATGGTAACGTAGAGGATTTTGACTATTGGAATCAAGTCCCTTGGGTTCAGAGGCAGCTGTAGTGAGGCTCAGAGGGCGGAGCCCTGGGCGAGGTGCTGGGGGAGAATGGGAAACACTTACCTTGCTTTCAAGTCGCAGATTGTGGCCGGACGACCCATCACAGACAACCACGGGAGACTCTCTCCTCGGAGGAGGCAAACATGCCCCTTCTCTCGTTTCAGGACATAAGATGCGCTCAGAGAGAATCTGTGCTCTTATTCACACACGAGAGTGTCCTTTTATCAAGCAAAATAAGAATGGCAATTCAGTGTCTTTACCATTTTGCCTTGGATGACAGGAAGCTCAAGGCTGTATTATATCATTTGCAATTATTCATATTTTCTCTCTTACTTTCTGGTATCTTGCCTCCTCCAGAGATCAGGGGATCGCCACAGATTGTCAGACTCTAAGATCTCCATTTCTGACGCCTTGTTCTTCTGCTTTCCGCAGGGTGCAGCAATTAGAGGAGGAAAATACAGACCTCAGAACAACAGTGACTCGGCTCAAGTCACAGACGGAGAAGCTGGACGAGGTGCGCGCCAGGCCGGGCGTGTCTCGGGCTCGGGCCTTGACCCGGGTCCACGCGCAGGCAGTGTTGGCCGTCAGAGGCCTCAGTTTCTAGTTTCTGAAATTCTAAATAATTACCCTTGGAATAGAAGGCAACAAAATATGAATAATGCTTTGTCTTCCTAGATTTCTGATTTTCCAAATTTTCTGCAGTGAGATATTTCCTTATGTAATGGGGGGAATAATAACAAAGAGAAAAAGGTCAGCTTCTGTCTGGGCCACCACCTTCTAGCCAAGTCTCATCTGGCATCGTTGAAGGATTCCAGAGGACTGTCCTAGCCGTGTTTCTAGAATCCTAGGGGACCTGGACGTTTCTTTAAGCTGTGGCTCAAGGGCTCCATTTGGGGGGCTGGTCTGGCTGCCCATTTGTTGAGCGGCTGGCACAGACCCTCAGGGACGCCCCGGGGTCCTCCCCCGACTCCCCACCCCCGCTGACTCGGTCTCCCGGGCTCCAGGAGCGGCAGCGCATGTCCGACCGGCTGGAGGACACCAGCCTGCGGCTCAAGGATGAGATGGACCTGTACAAGCGCATGATGGACAAGCTGCGGCAGAACCGCCTTGAGTTCCAGAAGGAGCGGGAGGCTACGCAGGAGGTGGGTCCGGGCCCCGGGCTCCAGGGTCCCCTCCCGTGCCCCTGCTCCTGCCAACCGGCCTCTCCCCCATGCAGCTCATCGAGGACTTGCGGAAGGAGCTGGAGCATCTGCAGATGTACAAGCTGGACTGCGAGCGGCCAGGCAGGGGCCGCAGCTCATCCTCCGGCCTGGGCGAGTTCAACGCCAGGGCCCGAGAGGTGGAGCTGGAGCACGAGATCAAGCGGCTCAAGCAGGTGCGCCCTGGGAGCCTCCGTCTGGCACGATCAGGTGTCCACACCCCCACGGGTGGGTCTCCTGTGAGGGGCTGAGAGCTGTAGCACCGTCCCCCGCTGTCTGCCCTAGCTGACAGCGTGGTTGTCAGGGCTGCTCCCTGCCTCTCCCAGGCACGGTGGCTTACCTCTAGGCTGTGGCTGATGGAAATTTCCAGGTCTGTCTTCGGCATCCATGAAAAGAAACAGAGCCCAGTCTTCTGTCCTGGGCACGTGGGGTGGGGAATGAGACTCCACCAAGCCCCAAATCGGTGCCTCCCTGTGTTGGGGTCTCTCCACAGGCTCTGAGCCCAAGGTTCCATTTCAAATGGTTCCTGGGGGCACGCCCTGACATTGGAGACCAGTCAGGGGTGGGGGAAGTGGAGTCAGGAGGGGCCATAACCAAGTGAAGGAGTGATGGTTGCTGAAGCCCCACATTTAGCTTTGCCCTGGGGGTAGGAGGCTGCTGTGTGGATTACACCCCTGAACTGGCTCTGCCAAGGCAGAGATGCTGTTGTTCACCTCCCACAGCCATCCTGAAACACTGCTCTTCTCATCCACAAGGGGGCGCCTGAGGGCCCAGGTGTGAGCTGTTAGGAGCCTTTAGGCAAAGGCTAGAGTATGAGGCTGGTAAATGGGGGTCTGGGCAGGGCACCAAGGGCGGCCTACTGGGAGTGCGGATGCCCCTGGAAAGAGCTGCCATGGCAGGATTCCTGAGCCTGGCTGCAGGAGGAGCCAAGGAGAGGAGCTGGCCTGTCAGCCGGGAGACCCCAGGGCACCCCTTTTCTCACCGAGGGCTGTTGTTGGAGGAGCCCCCGAGTGGGCAGTGTCCTCACGCAGGGCCTCCGGGGGTCCACTCTGGCTCACCCACCTCGGGGAGGAAGGTAGCGAGAAACCACGCTCCTGCCCGGAAACTTGGCTCCTCAGAGCAGGGCTGTGGCTTCCAAGCACCTGTGACCCCCCAGGATCCAGCCCTTCCCTGCCCCAAGCCTGGCAGAGGGCACATCATCCGTGGGTGTCCTGACATGACACACACCTGCGGGGAGGGTCCCGGTGGACGGACAGTGGATGTGGACAGGTGGGTTCCAGTGGGTTCTGGGTGCTTCCGGGAGCTGACGGTGCCTTGGCCTGCCCACAGGAGAACCACAAGCTGCGGGATCAGAACGATGACTTGAATGGGCAGATCTTGAGCCTCAGCCTCTACGAAGCCAAGAACCTCTTTGCCACCCAGACCAAAGCCCAGTCTCTGGCTGCGGAAATAGACACAGCCTCTCGAGATGAGGTAACGTGGCCGTGTGCTCTTGCTCTCGCTTTGGGGCCTGGCCCTCCTCTGAGTCCTGCCCCACCCCCACCTGCCACGATGTCCAGCCCCAGGCTGCCAGAGCAGGAAAAGCAGGCTGGGGCCTGGACCCTGAGAGTCCCCATCCTCAACGTTACAGGGTGGAGCTGTGGGTGGAGTTGAATCAACTCTTCCCGCACGTGGTGGGAGAGCCCCGTCTGGGAGCAGGATGGAGTTTGACAGGGCCGGTTGGTTTCATTACATGTAGTCCAGGGGAGTCTGGGACTCCCCTCCTCCCAGCCACCAGGGGAAGCACCTGCTGGTGGTGTGTCTTCACTTAATCTTCTCACAGCTGGGAGGCTGTCTGGACAGACTGGGAGACTGGGGCACAGGGTCCCTGAGCCTGTGGAGGGAGAGGGACCCAGGCCTCCAGCACCAAAGCTCCCTCTCTCTGCCCCACCTGCATATGGCTGTAAAAGTTCAGGCCTCCAGAATACTCTGGTTACATTTTAACACGAATCTAACACCGTCACTGAACCTCTAACCCTGTGCTGGGAACACAGAGCTAAGCTGACCCCTGGCCTCCAGAAGCTCCCAGGTGAGCCAGGGACAGATGCGGGATTGCAGTGACATTTGGAAGGACTGGTCAGGAGGTGACCTGGAGGGGGGCGATGGCAGGGCCAGCGGTGGTCAGGGGGCTGCTCCAGGCTGAGGAAACAGCCTTACGGTCTTAGGGCCCTGGGACTCGGGGTGTCAGTCTTGGTTATAAATGCCTTTAGCCACTGTTCTCAGCTTTTACCAAAAACTTACCCTTTGGGGCCCTCCACAGGTCAGTTAAATCCTGACCTCTGGGGGTGGGGCTGGGCATCTGCGCAGCTCACATACCTCGGGCATGAGCTGAGCCGGGCTTTACACTGGCACTCTGGCGTCCAAGTGCTGAGGTTGGCCGCGGGGCTGCCTTGCATGGGGTCTCCTGAGCCCTGACTTTCGGCACCAGCTCACTGTGAGCCCAGGCAGCTGGGCCCCCGCCCAGTCTGGCCTCTGACCGTCTGTCCTGCCTCCACCAGCTCATGGAAGCCCTCAAGGAGCAGGAGGAGATCAACTTCCGGCTGCGACAGTACATGGACAAGATCATCCTGGCCATCCTGGACCACAACCCCTCCATCCTCGAGATCAAACACTGAGATGGAGGCGCTGGCTGCAGAGCGGCCCCGGGACCCCGGGACCCCGGGACCAAAGGGCAGACCCTGCCTGCGGCTGCGGCCCCATCTCCGGCTGGGCCTCACGCACTCACCGTAAATGTCTGTCTGGCCACGATGTACTGTGTCCTGGTGTGGATGTGGCTGTGGCTGGGGGTGACATCTGCACGGTCAGCTGTTTGTGCACTCTTTGGTCCTTCTGCAGGGGCAGAGGGTCCTGGAAGTTCAGGGGACAAGGTCTGCAGTCAGGGGTCACTAATAACAAGAACTGGAAGCTTGTGTTTCAGATACTGGGTAACGTGATTCTACCTCTGGGGGTGAGGATTCAGAAATGTGCTAGGAAGACGGGGCTCCCCACCACCGCCTCGTTCCCCTGGACCAGGAGCAAAGTTGTCATCTTTTCCAGGAGTTCGAATGCCCAGCAGCTGTGCCCTCACCAACCTCTTTGGCCACCCGTGAAGTCCAGGTGCTCAAACTCAGGAGGAGGAAGGGGCGTGCAGGGGGAACACTAAGGGGGGCCTCAGCAGCCCCTCCGGGCGGGCAGCCCCTGTGAGCCTGAGCACGCTGGGTCCCAGGGACTCAGGCTTGCGAGGAGCCGCCTTCACTCCCGGAGGTCTTGGCGTTTTTGGAGCAACCACACACTTGCCCGTCCTGCTTATCTACCTCTCCCTCCCTGTTTTTGTCCTGTTTATAAGAACAAGAAATACTGTAGGGTGAAGGGATTAAAAGGAAGGGGAAGGAGGCTGAGGGACAGGGGTGTTGCTCACCTGCCCACCTGTGTCCTTACCCCCTGTGTCCTTCCCCTGGCTACATTCTGAAAGAGGCCAGGGTGGACCCCTGTGCCTATGGGCTGGGGGTGGGTCCGGCCCACCTGTCCCCACTCTGCGCAGCCTGGTGACACGGGCCTCGGGTCCGGGTGCTCAGAGCCGGGGCTCTGGGCTGGGCTGGGCTCCTGGGGGTCACCTGGGAGGGTTTCAGGGAAACCTTAGTCCTTCGTTGGCACGTGTGAGGATGCACACTCTGGGTTGTCGATGCGGTTTCTCATTCCAGGCAGCTGGGAATAGGTACTTTCCTTTGAGTTTTCCCAGTGTTTCTCAGTTGTACAGGGCCGATTCGGTTCCTTAATCCAAATAGACACACACATGGACGGTCCTCATTTCCTCCCCTGCAGGTTGCTTTCGCTAGCACTTCTGGTGTAGAAGAGAAAGCCTGGGCGTGCTGGGGAGGGACAAAGGGGACCGTGTGAAGAGGACAGGGCAGTGGCAGCTGCGGAGGGCACCTGGGGACTCGTGTGTGTCCCTGATCACAGTGGCGGGACCGTGGCTACACAACTGACCTTCCTTTATTCCAGTCCACTTTTGCTTTTGTTGGACTGTGGTTCCTTGCAGGTTTGTGCGCGGAGTTTGTTTTTATGCTGCAAGCAGCGGGGTACACTGGCTCGACTCAGGAGTTTGGGGCCGCCCGCATCGGGAGGGCCAGGACAGGGGTCAGTCCTCTGTGGCTTTCTCAACCCCAGTGATACTGGTCTCCTTGGGCTCCCCTGAGGGTCTGAGAAGTGACAGTGGAAGGAAGACTTAATGAACAGGTCTCCTGAGAATTTGCTGATAGGAAGGCATGGCCACAATTTAAGGGAAAGAAGAGAAGAACCAGGGCCTGAGGGCTTTGGTCTGGGTTTCACTTGGGGAGGAGTCCTGCAGAGGCCAGCCCGGTGGCCACCGGCTCTGCTGGGGCTTGCCCCAGCAGAGGAGTAGTTTAGGTGTAGGACTTCACGTGCTCTTTAGCTGCAGTGGCGTGGGGTTCCCGAGAAGGCCGCAGAGAGGCCTGAGTGGCAGGCCGTCACGCACCGCGGGGAGGAGAAGGGGCTGGCAGCGGCGGTGTTCCGCGGCACCACGCACGCTCCGAGGAAGTGCCCGTCTGAAAGACCCCTCGGGACCTGTGTGGGGCTTGGGGTCTCGAGAAGAGGGAGCAGTCTCTGCTTTACATGAGACTGAGTTTCAGGAACACACACCCAAAGTTAAACCCACCCTTCTGACTTCGGCCAGAATACCTCGTATAAAACTTAGTCTGTCCAATTGGCTTTTTAAAATCACTCTTAAAAAATGCTCTTCTGTGCTTGAAAGCTGGCCCAAGGAGGGCATACGGCCCCAGGCTCCCCGGCCTCCCGCCCCTGGGCTGGTGTTGGAGCTGGGCTCCCTCTGGGTGTGTGTGGGGGGGGGGCAGACCCGCCCTCCTCCCGTGTTCCCTCCTCCTTCACGGGGTCTCAGGGCAAGGGTCCCGCTGTTCTGTCTCAGCCCGGGGGCTGTCAGCCAACGTGCAGGATATCCAGGTGAATTTGAATTTCAGGTTGATGACAACCAATTTTTCGTAGGAGTATATTCTGTGCAATACTTGGCACATATTTAAAGTGGAGAGGATTTTGAAATCCTGATACCCAGGTCAAATCCCCAGAGGTTCTGATTTCGTTGGTGTGGGTGCAGCCCGGGCATCAGAATGGTCCAAGGATTCCCCAGATGATTGTAATTTGTTATAATTTAACTGGGTGTCCTGTGCAGGTTTTGAGTTTTGTTTTTGCCAAATCCATGTAGGGCGGGCTGGTACCACCTTGCCTGAAGTATCGACGTGTTGGGGACCGGGGGGTGGGGGGGGCTCCCAGGGCAGAATCTCCCTGTGCAGACACTGGGCCGTCCTCAGGTTCAAGTCAAAACCAAACAAAATTGGCTGAACCCGCGAGCTAGTTCTACGGACAGTATCTAATAGAAAAGGAAGCCCTTTCTGGATTAGGTGGCCCCTGTTCTGTGGGAAAGTGTAAGATACAAAGTTCTAGTAAAAAAAAGCTTTTGAACTTTGAATTGGCCAACGTTAGACAAGGCATCGTACTTTAAATGTGTTAGATTCCTTGCAAATTGTAAGAGGGAAATTCCTTTAGCTTGACTTGACTTCTGACCTATTAAAAACACAAAGCTCAAGAACTTTCCGAAGCACTTGGACCCGAAACAGTGGTTCTCAGCTCTGCTCATGCATTGGAGTCACCTGGGGAGGTTTAAAAATTTCTGCTGACTGGGCTGACCCCCCCTCCCCCAACCTCCACCAGGTTGGGATTTAATTGGTGTGGGTGTGGCCAGGCATCCACGTGTTTAAAAGGCTCCCCAGGTGATGCTAATGTGCAGCCCGGGCTGAGGTCCTGGCAGAGAGGGTTGTGTGCTGGTCAGAGGTGGAGAAAACGGGTGGGGGAGGCTGCTGGGCTTGTTAACCCAGGTGCTGGCCAAAAGCCGCTGGGATATCTATCAGTGGCTTTTCCTGATGGGAAGTCAGATGGTGAGAGGCTAGCACATCCCTTGCGCCCAGGATGGGAGGCCAGATGCCTTCAGGAGCTGGTGGATCCAGCGCTTGTCAGCAGCCCAGGGGTTAGCAGCCGCCAGTGGGCAGGTCCATCTGGTGCCCACGCAGTCGGTGGGTGGCACATGCTGGGATGTGGGAGTGGAGCAGAGCAGGGTAGGGAGCCAACCAGCAGCCTCAGAAATAGCAGTCACCTCCTCCGCCAGCTGAGCCGCGGAGGTCGCTGGCTTTGCGGGCTCTGCCTCCAGTCGGTTTGCACCAGGGAAGGTGAAGGCTGACCCAGCTCCTTCCCTGTTCCCAGCCAAACCAGCACCCGGCCCACAGCCAGGAGGCTCCGGGGGCTGCTACTCTGGCAAGTCTGACTCGCAGCCCAAGGGGGCCTGGTAGTCAGGAGGGCATGATGCGGGCTCTTTTGTTGCCACGAGGGACTTTGTAAGGGACAGAGGCCTGCAGGGGCAAGTGGGCCTGTGGATCAGGGAGAAATTAGCCCTCTTTTTGTGCTCCGTGGGTATATGTGTTTAATATACTAGTAAATGTAAACCTAAAAGCTAATCTTAGGTGTGATCGGAACGGAGGATGCTATGGACGGCCACCATGCTGAGGAAGTGACTTTGCTGTCCTGGCACATCTTCGGTGTCTTTTAAAGGGCAGGGGCAGGTTTTAGGTGGAGGAGAGGGGCCACTCAGTGCTGCCGCCCCCCAGCCCTCCCTCCTGCGGGCTAGGGACAGCCCCGTAGGACTCTGGTTTGGGCTGGAGAGACCGAGGCTCCCTGCTGAAGGGCCTCGAGTGCGGGGGCCACGCCCTCCCAGTCACTTTGAGCAAGTCCCTTCCTTCACTGACCCTAGGGACCTCCAGGTCCTGCCCTCCTGCTGTGTCTGAGGGTGTGAGAGAGGGCAAGGGGCAGGAGAGGCCGGCCCAACCTGCTTGGCAGGACAACTGGGAGGCTCTGCCACCACCGCTGCCCGCCTGGAAGAGTGGACAGCTTTCTGGAAAGGTTTGCTCCTGAAAGCGTGAACCCTGGCGAAGCGTGACGCCACGTGATTTTGATGCTCCAACCTCGTGCTTCTGTTTCCATTGTGACTGTAACGGAGGGATGCCTGCCCCGAGCCACCAGAGGGGCTGGCAGTGGCTCCTTGGCCACCCCCGCAGGGTCTGCGTGCTGTCGTCCCAGCAGCTGCGCCTCCTGCCGGGAGCCCTGTCCTGCTGCGCTGCACAGGCTGTGTTTTGTCTGCATGGTTTGGGGTCCTTGTGCCTTTTTGCTCCCTGTCACCGCTGTGCAGGATTTCCACGTTACCACTGCCCCCTTTTCTACATCCTCTCGTTGGCCCTGGCCCCTCCCAAGCCCTGTAAATGTGTACATAGTGTTCCGCTCTGTGTCCACGTGCCTCCCTCCGCCAGGGAGGGCCCGCTCGCCCACAGGGTCAGGCTCCTCTGCCCCTTCGCTCACTCAGCCGTGCATACGTGGTCACTTTGTACAGGATTTTTCATTCTGGTCGCAAGCCTGGGGACGCACGTCGTCCCTTGTCCAGCCTGCCGCGAGTTCAGCTGCCTGCACACCAGGAAGGGGTGGCCGTGTGTAGAGCAGCTTCTCCCGCAAACCTCTCCGTGTTGGCGTCCACATGTGCAGGCGGCGGCTCGCATTTCGCTAACCCGGGCCTCAGCCCGCAGGGATGCTGCAGGTCTGCCGCAGCCCCGAGGGCCCTGGAGGAAGCTCCAGCTGTGTGGCTGCCGGCACTGGGCTTGGGTTCCAGCCGCTGCCATCCAGGACCTAGGACAGCTTTGGACAACGGGCAGGAGGAGGAAGCTCCTAGCTGTCGCCCCGTCTGCCATTAACAACTGCCAAGCTCTTCCTCTTCCGCTGAAGGTGCTCAGTCCCGGGTGCCATTAACCCCGACAGCGGTCGGGTGGCCATCAGACCATGCGCTGCTGCCGACTCGCTGCAGCCTGCTGGCGCCCTTGGTCCTGCTTGTCCTGTTTCCCCGGGCTGGGTCTCCTAGGGCCCGGATGGAATAGACTGCATGCGTGGTCTCAGGTCTCATGTCCGAGGGTTGGATGGATGGCTTTGGCTGTCTGTGGGGTTCCACCTGAGTCTTTTGCCCTAGGACCCTCCATCTGGAAGCAGGTTAGCTTTGGGGCTCAGGTGAGGCCGCCTCCTCCTGGCCCAGGGTGGGGAGAGTGGGATGAGACCCCAAGGCCAGGCCCCAGGGTCTCGAGCTCTCTGCCTCCCGCTTGCTTCTAGCGAAAAAGGAGCTGGCTCTCAGAGGCGGGCTTTTCCGGGAACTAATGTACAGACCAAGGTGTAAATAAACCGTTTGCTTTTCTTGCCTGACTTGATGGTGAGTTTCTGTGGTGGGGACGGAAGGGCGGGAGAGGCGTGGTGCCGTTCCAGCACCCCTGGGGGAGGAGGGAGGGGGGAGGGTGGGCCCCGCCCAGCATGTCCTCCAGCAGCTGGGGGGCACCCTGCAGGGTCTTCTCTCCCCAGGAGACGAGGTGCGGATTCCAGAAGCTCCTGCAAGACCATCATTCCAGCCACCAGGCGGTGAGGTTTGAAAAGTTGGTCCTCACTGCAACGATGCTCCCTTTCCCAGCGGGGGCCACCCAGGGGTCTCCACTCACGCCGGTCCCTCTGATGAGGTCCCAGCACCATCTTCCTCCATGCCAGCCACCATGACTCCCCTGGGTCACAGGCCAGGCCCTCCACTGGAGCCTGGTGGCACACCAACCTGCCAGCGCTGGTCCTGCCATGCCCCGGGGTGTCGGGGTGGCTCCAGGTCGGGGGCTCAGACCCCCAGTGTCTGCCCCCTGCTTGTTTACCCCCTCCTCTCGGCCGTGGGTCAGCCAGGGCAACAGGAGGCTCCTACTCGCTGGCCTTACATGGCCCCACCTCGGGCTCCGGGGAGGTCGTCTTCCACACGGGCTTGTGTCCCCTGGGCCTTGGTCCCTCCACACCCCTAACGTGCCTCCTTGTCCCACTAGGGTTGCCAGATTCTGCAACTTAAAATACAGGAGATCCCTTAAATTTTACTTTCAGAAATGAATTTTTTTGGTTGAAGTATGTCCCATGCAATACCAAAAAATTACTCATTGATATCAGAAATTCACATTTAACCAGGCACCTTTTTTTTTTTAAAAATCTGGTGACCCTATTCCCCCTCCCCTCCACAGGGCCCCTCTCTTGCCAGTCAGGTGCCCCCAACTCCTGAGCACTCGCCTTGCACCCCAGTTTCAGAAGCACTTCCTTCTTTCTTGCCACTACTTTCTTTGAGACGGGGTCTGCCTTCCCTGCCCCAGCCGCCCAAGCAGCAGCTGCTGGCCTTTGCGGAGGCTGTGCCCCCTTGCGGCCTGCGGGCGGTGTGGGTAGAGACCTGGAGCCATGAAAAGGACTGAACGTGGAGGTAAACTCAGACTTTAGCTAAGGTT